GACTTTCTTACCCCCCTTCTCTCCAAATTTCCTCCACGGATAAGAGAACAAATAGTAACACAAAGCCCTTAAAAACAAGAGACATCTGTGACTCCAAGCCATGACATGTACAGCTGGCACTGAGAGGTCCTAGAGTTTCATTATTTAGGGGAAAGGCAGGTGTTCCAGACAGCACAGCAGGAAGCAGGTCGGCCCTGGCAGGCAAGGTCGCAAGTTCAGGGCCTTCTAGAAAGGAAAGATCAGGCTGCATCCTGAAAGGAGTGACCTGCTGAAGTCTAGACAAGGAACCCCAGCAGACACAATCAAATGACAACCATTACACTCTTCTACAGAAAAGAGAATATGGACTCTCTGGAGACACAGAAAATAGTGATTAAGAAACATTGCAACAACAAAAGAAACCTTTTGGAAAGTAATGCAAGAAAATTTCTCAGAACAAATTAACTCCAGGTCAAAGGGTTCACCAAGTATTCTGGCAGTGCAAAGACCACCCTCCCTCTCCCAGGGCCCAGAAGAGCAGGGATAAACAGACCACTCTATAAGGTCACAGGCAAAGCAAGTCAGAAAAAACTAGAAGGAATATTTTCAGGAAAACAATCTCTGTTGGGGACAGTAGAAGACTTAGCTAAAAAACCAAAACCCAAATGTGACAAATAGTTATTTTAAGAAAAATATGGAACTATAAAAGAAATAGTATACTATTCGTTAGCTAAAAGTAATGTGGCTGCATGACTAAATAATGAAGACCTTAAGATGTTGGCCAGAAATTGTAACAATTCACGCTGTGGAAGATGAGGGGAGAATAAGAGGCATATGTTAGCAAAACTTCTCAAGACTTCTGATGGTATGCCAGTGCTGGTGTAACAAGATGTCAGCACATGATGGAGCTGAATGGAAGTGTCTAGAAGAGAGAAGGAAGAAGGGAAAGGCTGGGGTTGCCATTCACAAAAGCTTTTTAAGTTCTGTCTACCATGCAAAGCTATATTTGTGTATTTCTTTGACACTGTATAAAAATAATTTAAAACAAACTAGCAAAATGACAACTCTCTCTTCCGCAGGATGAAGTTGTGCCTCCAGGGCACAAAACCAACAGTATAATGAAAAGTGTCAAATTACTAAAGGTCTTAAGTTCAGTGCCACTCTGTGCTCTACTTGAAAATTAATTACTGTAAGGAAACCTGTCTTTTTCCTTTACAACCCCAGTCAGAATTTCCCCAGTCTAGAGAGACTCAGCAGTCACTTGAGAACCTGGAGTTCACCTCCAGCCCTGGGAGGAGGTGGTACTTTAAATCTAATAACTAAACCATTCCCCATGATAGGTTCTTATCCCACAGCCAAACCCACCACAGAAACTAAGACCCAACTAGACAGCGTGGGATATGAAGTACCGTGTCCCCAGCCACCCTTTCAAATGGCTGAGCATCAACAGATGGCACGGACTTGCTTAATAACTCTTAGAAATTCTGTGGCTGTGTGTGCCGATTTCCTCATTTGTAATGACAGTGACAAAACCTGCTCTAAGGAGCAGTGACTCAAGCCAGAGTATACACAAACACAAACTGTTGTTTTCATTATAACTAACATTTGGCACAGAACTCTCTTTCCTACAAGTCTAACTCTGTTAATGAATGCATCCTGAGAATTGCAATAACTCTGCTGGTATTCACTCACACATACTAGGATTGATTCATGTTTACAGTAGACTCATAAATATCTGTTGTCTTGAGTTTTTGTCACCAATTACTGCCAATGTTTCCATTTTCTCCAGAGTTTTCTAGGCAACCCAGAGTTGACACCGCCCTGACCTTCACCCTCTTCCTCCACCTTTCCTTTAGAACAGTTTTCCCTCGAGGCGCTAGTTTAGACTCCTCTGCTTCTCTCGTCCTGGTCCTTTGGACAGCGGTGTGAGCACACAACTCCCGAACAACTCTCCAACAGCCTGCCCTCACCTTCTCCCGAGTCCCAGCCCAGAATTTCCATCTCTTGTTAGACACGGTGATGAGAACCATCTGAGACGTCAGAACCTTCTCACAGCTCCTTTCCTCCCAACAATGGCATCAACAGTCCTGGTTAGCCAGGCCAGGATATTCCAACTACCCCAATCCAGCTTCCTTTGACAACTCCTCATGCAGAGTACACTGAAAACCACATCCCCTAGATTTCATTTGCATGTTCTCTCTTCCAGTCTCCATCTATGACGCCGACACCACCCTGCATAGAACCCCAGCTCAGCCCTGACAGCTACAGCAGCCTCCTGATTTGTTCCTGCACATTCTGTCATGCCTGCTGTGCACAGTGACCATGATCACGTCGCTTCTGCCTTTAAACGAGCTAAGGCGCCCTACTGCCATATCTTGACACACAAGACCTTTCACATTAATGCCAGAATAAAAATGTCTCCAAATCTCAGGCTCTCCTTCACACACCCCATGTGCCAACCAGACTCAGTTAACTAACATGTCCCTGAAACAAGCCACAGTCTTAAGGGTGGGGTAATTGCCCACCCTGGCGTATCATGCTAATCCTTCAGGCCCATATTGGTTTCTTTAACATCTCCACAAACAAATATCCCCTCTCCTTTGTTCCTGGCGCTTCACAGCTCTATTTTCATTTGGCTTCGACTAACACTCACTTTCTTCAGATTTCCGGCATCATTGCCCATTAGCCCTTTCTCACTCCGCCTCAGACATGGAGGAAGGCATCCTTCCTTCCTCATCTTTGTGGGTTTTTGTATGAAGCCTGCACTTTGCACATGGGTCCCCTTGAGAACATCTTTGAGTGGAGACTTGTGAGAACACACTTCTAACACTTTCCATGTTTACAAATGTATTTTGTAATTGAAAACTTCATGAGTGAGGAACTCTCCGATGATGCTATTTGGTCCCAGTTTGCAAACAAATGAGATAGAACAGCTTTGTTTGACTCAATGGTTGAACCAAGAGTTCCCTCCAAAGATGAAGATGTTTCACTGTGATGTAATAAATGACGCATTTCCCCCTTCAACCCTACTAAAATTCCCAAGTGGAAATCTGGAATGTGGACCAAACAAATAAGCTACAGTGTGTGTGATGATTCTGTCACCAAACCACAAGGAAGATTACGAGTGGAGAGGAAGAATCTGGGGGGGGGGGTATAGTAATGGGATGCATTCAATAAGTAGATGGGGAAACTAGAGGATGGGAGAGAACCAGTGTGTGTGTGTGGGGGGGCGGCATAGGAGAGCGTGGCGGGGGAGGAGAGGGATGACAAGGAAGGAAAGAGGATGCAATGAGGAAACCCATCACGCATAAGCAAACCTAAAAAATCAATCAAAGATAAGGACTTGAAAAGCAAGTGGGACCCTGTTTTAGCATTCTACTGAGCACTAAGCTCAGCTGTGCTACTAGGTTACTGAATGAGACCCTGGGGCTGGCTCTGCTAGGTTATCTGTGCTACTCGGAGTCCAAGGCCGAACCACTCACCTTTAAACAGTGACATAGAGACACAGTGACTTTACTCAACACAATAGGAGGAACAGAACTGCTCCCCACAGCAGGTATCAAGCCAGTCTCTGATGTCACCAAGTGTCAAGTAAACACTGCTCCTTAAAGTGACCGGTCCTTTCGACCTTAAGAAATGAGGAACGACACATTGTTGCAGTGTGTAAGTCGGTAGATGTGTGAAAGGAGTGATGACAGCAGTCAGGTAGTAAGCCTCCAGAAGAACCCGCTCCCGGGCTTTGTGTAACCCACCTCAAACTTCAGAGGGGAGAGCCCTAATTTCTAATCCGTCCTACTTTCGCGGACAGCAGTGTTAAGTGCCTTTTGTCCTCGTTATTTAAGGTAATAGAAGAATTTTGTAAAAATCAAGAAACTATACGTGTTCATTAAAAACCCAGTCTGGCACAAAGAAAAAGTAGACGATATTCTCAAACTTTAGAGGGTGGAAGTGAGGCAGCAGTTAACCGGGATGTAATCCCAAAGGATGCTCCTTCCTTCTCTCCATTTCCTGGGGCACACTCCATTTCCACTGCACGCTCTTTCACCAGTCACTGAATTTCGCCAGGATGAGCAGCTGACTTTAAATCGGACCTTTCCTGAAAGATCCGCTCCCAGCTACCGATTTCTGTTTATGTTCCTTACTAGCCTGTCAAGTCCCGCGGGGCCTGGCTCAGGCCTGAGTTCTCCGCGGGTCGGACCACCCCAAGCCACGGACCGGCAACGGGCAGGCTTCGGGCAGTAGGCGGTGCTGCAGAGCCCGTGCCCGGACAGAAAGCCACCTGTCCAGCCGGCAGAGCCACCACCAACGTGGGTCCCCGGGCCCGAGACCCTTCCTCCCAGGACACGCGTTTTTGGCACGCCCAGCGCACCGCCAGGCAAAGTAGAGCATCTTTGCCTCTGGAAGCTGGCTGGATGCTGTCAATGTTGGAAATGAACCGGTTCTTTCTCACTCGGTTGTCAACTGCTACTTGGTCGAGAGGAAACCCAGCAGAGACTTGGAGAAGAAGAAGTCAGGACTGGATGGAAGGGGAAGAGTCACCCGCCCTGTGCCTTCTGGGAACCAGCGACCCAATTGCCCCTAAGCGACTCTCACAGTCGTTGTCCTCGGGGTTTGGGTGTGAGTGCACCGTCGGGGAAGTCTTCCACCCACTCTGCACTCCGCACCGCTCCGGGCCCCACCGCCTGCCCTCCACCCAGGAGGGCCGGAGAGGTGGAGGGGACCTGCCACCTGCCGCGGCTCAGCTGCGGGTCGTGCGCACACAGTAGGATCCCGGACCTCCAGGCAGCTCGGGGTTCGAGTTCCGAGGTCCTAGTCCGGGTGGCAGCTCTTCCTCCCCGAGTCCCGCCGTCGGCGACCGTCCGCGGGCAATTCGTGCACGTGAGCCAGTGAGCCCGGTTGGGCCCGGCTCAGCAACACCGGGGTGCCGAGCCCGAGTCCGCCGGGCAAGCGGAATGGCGCGGCGCGTGGCGGGTCCCGATCCCCGTCCCGCCCGCCCCCCTCGGCCGCGCTCCGGTACTCACGCGTCGGGCCCCGGGGAGGGCGGCGCGCGCTGGCAGGGCGGCTCCAGCCCGCCGTTGACACCCCTCCAGCCCCGGCAGCGGCGCTGCGGCTCGGCTCCCTCGGCCTCGCCATCCTCCTCCTCCGGCACAGGCAAGGTCACCCTCGCGGGCTCCCGGCACTTCCTGACCTTGGTGGACATAGTGGCGGAGCGCGGCGCCGCCCGCAGTCAACAGCCCAGCCGCCCCGCGACAAGCCCCGGGGGTCGCAGCGACGGGGACGCCCGGGCCGAGCGCGCGACCTGCAACGGAGCTCGGGGACTGCGGCCGCGATGCCGGCTGCGCACGGTCTGCCGGCCCGACAGCATCGCGGCGAGACGGCGTGGTTTCCCTGCGAGGAGAGGGAGGAGGGAGAAGGGAGGAGGGAGGGGTGGGAGGACCAGTCCCTGGCAGACTGCGCGGCGCAGGAAGCAGACAGAACAGCAGGTGGGGAGCTGAGAAGCAGCAGAAACTTCCCTCCACTCTCCTTTCTACCCGAGCCCCAGAATCCCCTTGCATCTGCAGACCCAAGTGTCCTAGGGAAGGAAAAGGAATCGTCGACTTGTTAGTCTTCCCGGAATCGGTTTTTATGCACGCTCAGCTCTCTATATTTCCAAAGCATTGCTAATTCGCTGTTGTCAGGCTTAGTTGAACCCACTGGCTGTTTAAGTGCGGTTCCTGAGTACCAGTTCCTCACAGCAGGTCAGTGTTTAATGTGCAGGATGCTTTAGTTTTTACAGTCGCCAAGTATCCAACTCTAGCGTACTATACTTTTCAAGAAGTATTTTACAGAAAAAAATTCTTTTGAGACAAGGTGGCCCAGGATGACATGAAACTTAATATCTGGCACAGGCTGGCCTCGACCTCACTGCAATCCTTCAGCTTCAGCCTCTAAATTATAGCGGTTGGTGAACATGTGTGTTGGTGTGTATGGAGGCCAGAGGCCAAACTTTTGTGTCCTTCCTAGAATCATCCACCCTGGTTTTTGAGATAGAATCTCCCTGGGCTTCTGGACTTGGCTAGGCTTGCCAGGAGGCCCAGGAATCCACCTATCCCACCTCCCCAGGCTTTCAAGAGAACTCAGGTCCTCACTTAATTCTTTTAAAACTTAAAGGAACTCACTTTAAAATTCAAAGTAACTCAATTTTCTGGGAGGAAGAATTACAGACTTTGATCATTGAGCATTTTAGGGATCAGAGAACCTAGGTATCTTGTTATTGTCATTCTATTTGTTAGTCTTGGAGCTGGGAATGGCACCCAGTGCCCAGGGCTAGGTGCCTCCATCTGTGAGCTATTCACTAGGCTGTATGCCTCTTACAGATGAGGACACCATGGGCTACAGAGACTGAGTGAATCACCCCTTGTGAGCAGGTACGCGAAAGTTCCCATCAGACCCAGGGAGTATTCAAGACTTTTTGTTACCTAAGGCAGGCAGACGCCTTCTGCAATACATCAAAGATTCACATACATACCAGCGTGGTAATCACCATGCCAAGAAATACCAAAGATAATCCATTTGAGTGTGAGGTGGAGTTCCACAGACATACTCTGGGTGAATATTCTGTTAGCCTTAGGTAATAACTTATTACCAATGGCAGAAACAAGACCTTTTACACAGAAATTTGGGTCATTCAAACCCAGCTTATAACTTAACAGTAAGAATAATTGACCCAATGAAATGAGTGCCACTAGTACCAATAAATCATCCTAATAATACAAGATTTTCCTAAAGTCCTCATTGTAGAGTTTGAAACTCTTCTGTACTCTCAGTAGTAAATGCTGCTTTCTTATTTGTGCCCATCTAAAAACCATCTACCAGCCTCGAGCCCCTCCCGAGTTTCCCCCACCACCCTACCTAGCATACACCCACCCTTCACTTTTTTAACCGCAGAAAGCCTATAATGTAATAGTTACCAAAGATACCCACATGTTTAAGTAATTGTCAGAAACTGTGCTTCATGGAGGAAACCCAAGACAAACACAAACACAGAAACGTGGCTGCCTTTAAGTTAGCTCTTAAGAAGTCCTCAAAACCAGCCGTGTATTCCTTGCACTGGCAGTAAGCAATCTTATGTCTAAGGAAGCTAAGGTGTATTATTTCTGCAACAGGGAAGATGGGGACCTTCGGAAATCCATTTCCCTCGTTACTTCATATGAGAGTGTTAATTTCTGAAGGCGAGTTGCCAGACCCCTTTGATCCCACTCTTAAAGACTTATGAAGAGATTGCCTCCTGCAGGTCAGTAGCCCCGCCTCCAGCCGGGCTCCCACTGTCCTCCCTGCTTTCTGTCACATACCTCTTGCCTGAGACAGGGACCATGTTCAAAGCAAGTCTGATCATGACTTTGCTCCATTAAAAAAAGATCTCTGGTGACTCCCCACACATCCGTTTTCAAAACCCACATTGTCGTGCAAGCCTTCTGTGATCTGACCCTGATTCTTCTGCCTCCCTCTTGCTCTGCATCATGGACATTCTGTCACTCCTGCTCATCCCCTGACACTGAGGTCTCTTTCCTATTTCCCTGTCTGTGCCATTTACCAACACTGAACTGTCTTTTCATCTACTCCCCTGAAGAGCAGGTGGGGGTGACCCACAGCCTGACAGTGTCTAATGGCCATCCTCAGGACCCAGATACACTGGAGGCTGCCCTACTGTGTGTCTGTGAGTATCCATGGTCTTATCACCTATAAGATCCTACTGTGTGTCTGTGTCCCTCAGTCTCACCACTTGAAGTTAACTAGTTGTGTGCAGGTCTCCTGTTTAATCTGTGAATTCCTTCTTGTTTCGAGCTGAGAGCTCATCTTCTGTCTTTGCCATCTAACTGAATCCATCATGCACAGAACAAGGGCAGAACATGAATTAACAAGTCCATGGGTTCCTTAAAAATACATGAGTTGAGTTCTAAGGTTCTGGGGGTGTAAGAGTCCCCAACACTTGTTTCCAAGGGTTACCAGAGCAACACTTCCAAGATGAAGTAGCTTAAACAATTCCAGGGGCTGGAAGTATGAGTTATAAATGTGAGCAGAGTCATCAGTGTCTCTAATCTCTCTCCTTGGTACATGTGAGTGTGTGCACATGTGTGTGTGTGTGTGTGTGTGTGTGTGTCTGTGTGTGTACCTTTGCTCTGTGTCCCCATATGTCCTTCCTTTTGTACCTGTCTATCATCTTTGTGGTGATATTTTGTTTATGATCTAACAAATAAAGCTTGTTTGAATATCAGAGTGCAAAGCTAGCCATACTAGTCAGCCATACAGGCCAGGCAGTGGTGGTACATACCTTTAGTACCAGGAACCATACTAGTTAGCCATAGAAACTGGGTCATGGTGGTGCACACCTTTAATCCCAGAACTAGAGAGAAATATAAGGTGGGTGGAGACAGGAGTGCAGGTATTCAGTCTGCAATCTAGACAGTCTGCAATCTAGAGCAGTGCAGTTTGGAGACGCAGTCTGAGGATAGGATCGCCCCTTCAGTCTGAGCATTGGTAGAGGTGAGAATTCTCTAGAGGCTGGCCACTTTGCTACTCTGGTCTTCAGCTTTAACCATAATATCTGTCTCTGGGTTTTTTTACTATTCAAGCTACACATCCTCCTCTTCTTATAGGGACTCTATTCATATTAGATTAGGGATCGATTAAGTCAGTCACCCACTTTAGCTTCATTATGTTCTTGTAAAACCATCTCTAACTACTGTCACATTCTGAGATCTTGGGGTTTAGGATTTCAACCTGTGCATTAGGGGGCACAGACACAATTCAGCCTGTGATACATGCTGACTCTTCTGGTCGGAGGAACCTATCCCATCAGAGGCTGTCAATGTTGTTTTTCACCCAGGGTTTTATGTAGCCCAGCCTGGCCTCAAACTTGATATTGAATGTTTTTCTGATTCTCCTGCTTCAACCTCCTGAGTGCTGTGATTATAAGTGTGTGCCGCCACACCCAGCTTAGGAGGTAATTGGAGCCAAACGCATGTTTTGCTGCATGTTAAGCAAGCACACTACCAAACGAGCTACATCCTAAGTCAGAATCTAATGTTTTTATTCTTATGAACTGTGGCTTGGGCAAAGAAAACCCAGAGGAGAGGAGAACACAAAGACAACAGTTCCTAGAAAGAAAGGAACTGTGGTCCCTTCTTGGCATAATCCAGCTTTGTCTATTTCTTTCATCTGTAGAAGAGGGTCTACTCACTGCACATGTATGTTGTCAGCTGCCTATGCAGTCTGTTAAGTATGTATTTTCTGGAGGTACATTCAAAACCTGTTACTTCTTTGGGGAACCCAAAATAAATATTCAAAACCCGAACTATTTTCAAGTAGAGACTTAGCCACTGAGGAATAAGCGAAACATAACTTTATTGTTAATTCCAAATAATGTTTTAAAAAACTGATAGCAGATCATAGTTCCCAAATTTGCTCTTTGATTTCTAAGAACATTTTGTACCTTTTTTTATGAGTAGAGCAAACAGATTGATTAGGGAGAAGTGAGAAAGAACTGTTGAGAGTGGTAAGGGTTGCAATGGCAGAACACCCTATACCTTCTTTAGGATCCCTGCTACATCATGGTAGTTGAGACATTTCACAGAGTCCCACCCTACACAAAGAACTATAGGCAACTAATGACTTCTGGGAGAGGGAGAATTAGCCTCTCCCAAGGACAAGCCCTCTTATCGGTTGTTTAATAAAAAATGGTCAGCCCTGAAGCCATATACTCACAAACTACAAAAACTGACTCGGGAGATAGTATTTATATATGCATACACACACATACACACACACACACACACACACGTATGTGTGGCTGTCATTTCAGAGTCTGGGGGCAGATGAGGGGTTGGGGGAAGAAAAGTGGAAAGTGATGTAATTCTATCTTAATGAAAATATTTAAGAAATATCCGAGGAAGTCTTCCATTCCTTCTCCCCAACCCTACTCTTTTCTTTGCATGTTTAGTATAACACATCTGAGTGAAGACACTGTGACAGTCATTTCATGGTACTACAGCATGCAGGTTAGTTTCCCCAAGGAGTAAGGACTGGAGTCGGTGAGGATGCTTCAAACACACATCTTTCAACATTCAGAAGAACAAAAGTTCTTACAAATTGACCTTGCTTTTTTAAAAAAACTAACTTTACATCACTAATTTCTAAAGCAGGATAAGTTAACTATTAAACTAGGAAATGCTATGTTAGAACAATTAGTCTCCAGTACAGCATCTCTGAACTTACTATATACTAATTGTGCTGGCTAGTTCTATGTCAATTTGACACAAGCTGAAGTTATCAGAGAGGAGGGAGCCTTAATTGAGAAAATGCCTCCATAAGATCAGGCTGTGGGCAAGCC